GTGTGTTTGTACAATACTGGTCATAAAGAGTTCCGTCGGGTAAGCATGTCAATATTGTCCTCGACGATACTAGAATTCGGCCTCGATAGACTTTTTCATCTTCAAAAGGTGTGATCATACCTAAATTTTCAGACCCTTACAGCACCACGGAGTAAAATGAGAAATTATAGTGTTAGTAGGGTTATTTTTAAGATATCTCGATAAATTTCTCAGCTAGAAAAAAAAACTTGTAATTTTTACAGTATTTGAAGCTCTATAAACTTATTCAGATAAAAAAATTCTTGGCGTGAAATTCAAATTTTTGTAGCCGTTCGAAAACTTTAATATCTCGCCATTTCTTCGGTTATAAAGTACAGTAGAAAAAATATTTTTACACGTTCCTTGTATACTAAAAAAAGTGTGTATTTTTTTTCAGATTTTAGGAAGTGCTGGAACAACTCTAAAAACATAATAAATATTAGAAAATACGATTTTTCTCTGCTAGCGCTTTATAGGTACATTACATTTTAAAACCAATAGCAGCATCGTATTGTACGCAAAAAAATACATCGAAAACGTATATCACACTTTTATTATTAGCATCATTCTACATGAGAATTCGTCGATTGAACTCATTATATGAATACTTAGGAAATCAAAATTCTGGAGTTCAATCATAGATTTTTTATTGCATGCATCTTAGGAGCTGAAAATTTGTACAAAGGCTTCTTTTTCCATGTTAAATATAACCCTGTAATTAGTTTTACGAAATGATCCGGAGCCTAACTGAACATAGAAATCCGGCTATACCATTTTATTTCCTTATCTATCGGTAGCTTTGCAATCAACTACACAACAAATATCGTGTCCTATATTTTGTTATTTAATGCATGCAATGTACAGCGACAGCATTCGGGAAAATTGCCAAAAATTCCCATTGCGCGGGCGCAGGTAGTTTCGCCTATCCCCTCCCTCCATCTATACACAGCGAATAGTATGGTAACAGGAGGAATTGTTTTCTCAAAACTAACTTGAAATAGTAGATTTAAAATTTTTTCGTGTCGCTGAATCCAAATCCGAGGTCAGTTTAACTCTTCAAGATCATTTCATGATCATATATACATACCTCATTAAATATAACTTAAAATAACGAATTTATAAGTTTTTCGAATAGCTGATTTCGTATTTGTGGTCGGTTTGACTATTAAGCAAGTTTTAAGTTTATTTTAATGTCTACAACGAGAGTACATGATGTGCTCACGAAACCGTGACAAGGGACGAAGTATATTTTCACAATTTAATATAGGCACGTACAGACAAAGTAAAAAAACAGAATTCAAAAAGTAATAACAACAATAACAAATAGAAATATTACATATTCAAAATGTATCATAGTCAGCTGTATTTCAAGCGGTAGAAAGGATTTGCACCTTTAGAAATTATAGGACAATGCTTGAAATTTATAATTCTTTTTTATAATATCGAACAACTTTGTTATCAAATCATCTACGGAGTGGATTTCTGGTATTAAACGTCTTTTCAAGGATCAGCAGTAGATCAAGATTCAAGACAATAGAAGAAACATTAATCTTCTTAGTATTAAAAAAATGACTATGAAAAGTTGTTCTGCTTTAAAAAAAATATGACAAGCATGATTTGGTACCAAATATTATATGCACATAGTGTAGAAAAATATTTAGAATGTTCAAAAATGATAACATTTTATCAAAAATGAAAGATTCAACTATATGGAAGAAACCAATCAACATAGAAGATTATTATTCTTTTAAGACAAATTTATATGGGTTAAATAGCAAAAACAAGTGACAAATTGATTACATCGAAGTTAAAAGTGTAGTGAAATCAATATATAGAAATACAGTGAATAAAACTTATATCCCTGGATTCGTTTCAAAAGGTTATTTAACCTTTAGAGGGCCGGAAAACGCCTAGAGGCTCAAACATTTTTTTTCATAAGTACTCAATTTTTTATTGTCAATTTTATTAACTCAATTCAGGTGTGAGGATTAACGAAGTCTCCAAACATGATTCTGCAACCAAAAAAATTAAATTTAAAATGGGGGATGCAATATGGCTAAGTTTCCAAGACATTTCTAGTTTCGATGTCAATCCTACTTGAAAATTATGTGTAGGAGTTTTAGAAGTCACTAGTTACAATTTTTCATTCACAATACTCATGTTTTTGAGGTCGCTGAATCCGAATCTGAAGTCTGATTGACCTCATGACCTCAGGGTCAAGGTCATTTGAAGGTCAAATTTTCAAAATGTCCATTTCGTTTGAAAATTATGTTTAGCATTAACCCGAAAGAATGTTTGAGAGAAAAAATTAGTAAACATGCTCGCTCTTGGCTTTACCCAGAATCAACGACGTGGACGTGGCGAACTCCTGATTTCATGTGTGTGTGTATGTATGTGTGTGAACTAGGGTATTCTTATATTTATTTATTTTATGTTTTCACATTTTTTTTACTTTTTAGAAAACTATTTTTATTTTACAATTGGTAACAACTCAATTATTTATGGCAAATTATTTTTAGTGTGATAGGTATAAAAGCAAGGAGTAATACATAATGGAATGGAGCATTTACTGCATTGAAATTTTGATTCTGCTCTTTTTTTTATCATGAGGCACAGCGCGCACCTTTTTTTCTTGTCTGTGAAAACAGGTAAGTGTTTTCCCACGAGACGTGCAGAAGTGGCCTCATTGCTTTTATTCAGCTCATCATTCAATTGAAGTATATCTTCAACTATTTTCATTCTAAATTCAGGAAAAGATAATCTATTATTATTCATGTTGTACATTGCATGTGCATTTACAAGGATCATATCGACTAAGTGAAAAAACAATTTTTTGTACCACTTCATTGACTCTCTTACGGTCTCAGTCAACGATAGTTGTTTGTCAATAAGGAGTATTCCTCCCATATTTTTATTATAATCAATTATGCACGTTGGTTTCATTTTTTTTCTCCAGTTTTCCAGTCTCTTTTCCCTGTTTTTGAATATTCAAATTCGTGTACTGAAGTTATAATGTACACTTCTTTTTTATCTTGCCATTTTATAGCCATCCAGACCATGTTATGGGCCAATTGAACTTCTCCCTTTTGAAGTTTCATATTCAGCGAGATCGCTCAGCGTGCGCGATAAAATCAAAATACGCTAATGTCCGTAATCGAGCGAGAGCTGGCGCGAGAGAGATAAACTGGCTTTGGACCCACCGGATGCCGACGGTTCGTCGACAGAGAGGCGACGCCGGCGAAAACGTAGACCCGCAGGGAATGGCGCCCTGGCGACGATTGAGGTTGCTGCAGGAAGGGCCGCAGCACGGCCTTTGCCTCGTAGACGGCGAATGGTCGCTGCGTGTACTGGCTCTCCTTCGAACGACTCTCACTCGCACTCACGGTGACACCTCGCCGATCGTCGCGCTCCTCTCTCCAGATCCTGCAACGACACAAGTATGTAGTCGCTATATAGCGTACACTTGGTCGCTGCGTTCACGCGAGGAGAGTGCCGCACACAGGGCTAGCGAATATCGCTATAACCCTGTCACAAAAATACATGGGCAAGATGGAAGGGGAGAGAATCACATGAGAAGATGAAAAATTAGTGTTACTTTTACCAGAAAGTGGACGAGAGAGTTAAGAAGGAAGAGAGAAGGAGAGACAGAGATAAATAAAGAAACCAGGAAGAATGAGAGAATTCGCCCTCGTCGTTCGTCTCCAGTGACCCAAGTATATTGGTGTTCGTCGTTACTGGTGCGCATTGGTACCAGGATGTAGTGCCCAGCGTTTGTCGAGAGCTTGACGCTTTTGCAGCTCTTTGACAGGAGAAGTCATCACTTCATTTCCCCGCGCATTCAGATCATTTCGGTGTGAGGTAGTTAAAAGGGTATTTTTGTGCGGTACCAATAATTCGTTGTACTCTTTCGTTACTCGTCGCGATCAACAAGCGGGAGTACTTGTTGATCAACTGCATGTGCCCAAATCTCTTGGCCTAAGGCATTTTTTGTTTTTCTTTGTCGGCAAGCCGATACAATAAACGAATATCTCTTTCATTTTAACTACCAGTCACGTTTTCCATTTAACCAAGATAACTTCCCGCTAATTCGCTTGTGGTATTGAACCTTTATTACTGATATCATTTGTCTCTTATAATTTGGTTTCGTGCTTTCATAGTCGTTTACAGTCGCGCAAAGCACCATGCGCACGAACTAGATGCAGAATAGAAGAAAATGTGGGTGGCGGTTAACACACCAAGGAACGACGAAACAACTCCTTAACGGCAGTGAATAAATAAATAAATATTTATTTAATATTATCCCGTCACAGCTAATATTAAATTAAAATAGTGCATATATATTTAAAGTACTAAATTTTATAGAAATAATAATTTTTCTTTTTTGGTGATCTCCGCGACTCTCTCTACTTTTCTCGTAAATTCGCTTGCAAGTAAGTGCGTATATGTGCGTTCTCGCACTACTTAGGTTTTATTGCAAATGGTAAAAAGAATGGTAAAAAGAATTTAATAATCGAGTTTTACTTATATAATGTTACCGACCATAAAAGTATAATGCATGTTTTCGATATATTTTTTTGCGTTCAATCAATGATATCTCGATGAAGAAACAAGATAATTCTAATCCGAAAAATGGGTTTTAATGGTCAAGAGTATTGCTTTTTGATAACTCTATTTGTCTTAGAAAAAAAAATTATTCATGGTATTTCCTCAAACATAGCAAAATATTATAATTTTTGCACTTTAGGTTGACCTTGAGAACCTTAGGTGATAGATCCATTCTGACGCTAGATTCCGATTCAGTGCTTCGAAAACTTACGGAAATATATCTATCGGATCTTCGGATTTTTTTTATTTTTAAATTTTGTTGGCATGTTTACTTTTATTACAAAGTATATTTTACTTATTGATTTTAATGATTTTTTAAAATTTGTTTGAAAAAATCTGGTAATGATTATTAAATTAATTTGCAATTATAATTCTAGATAGAATATGCAGATATGTTGAAAAGAGTTGAACCTTTACGCGATGAATTGCATTCATTAGAACAACAAGCTAATACGAATAAACATAAAGGTGAAGAAGTAAAAGATTTAATCTCTCAATTGGAATTGAGTATCGCTTCTTATAAGGAAGAATATGCTCAACTTATTTCTCAAGCACAAGCTATAAAAACTGATCTTGAAAATGTGCAAGGGAAAGTAGATCGTTCAATAGCTTTACTCAAATCATTAGTCATCGAAAGAGAAAGATGGGAAGCTACTAGTGAAACATTTAGAAGCCAAATGTCTACTATCGTTGGCGATGTATTATTATCATCAGCTTTTCTGGCATATGCAGGGTACTTCGATCAACATGTAAGTCTACGTTATAATTTGTTTCGTAGATATAAGGTTAGCTTTATATTAAAAAATCACATTTTATTTTTCATATATATTCTAGTTATATAAGTGTACATCATCTGTATTATTAGATAGCTGCTTTAACAAACCATTTAGTAAAAATAACACGAAAAGCATTTTTATAATATTTTGTTTTTTTCTAATAAGTACGCATTTTGAACAACGGTTGCATGAACTCTCTAAGTATTTATGATTTCCATTTTATAAATAAGGAAATTATATAATTTACAAACAAATATTGAAATGAATGATTTATGGAATGAAATTATTTATAAGAATATTTTCAATTAGATTATTGATATATTCAAAGGTAAGATGCGTACAAAAGACTAAAAATACTGAATTTAGCAGAAAACAAAGTACGGAATCTAAAATTATTGATTAATTAGCTAATTGATTGCAGTTTATTATTAGTTTAATTAATTAATTTAGTTTGATTAGCTTAATACTTATTTACATTGCCGCTTTTTCCCACCAAAAAAGAAATTTGTCGAAATTTCAATGTGTTATATTTAAGTAAAAAATAATCGTACCAAGACCAATTTCAATGCATTTAAAAAATCCTTTTAAGATTATTCAAATGATATGTATACAACTGATGTTTTCCTTTAATTTTTTCTACTGATAATTCAGTTTTTTAATTTCAAACATTTTTTGACCGCTTTTTACTCCTCCTTGTATCATAAAAAAATCGTTTAAAAATTTCAAGTCTGTAACGGGGTGGATTAGCTAGTACAAATAGGGTTTATTAAAGAACAAACTCTCACGATGCAGAGCTAACCGCCGCTCCGTTAAACACGTATGAGTATACGTGCATTCGTCTTTACGTTTGATAGTTTCGTTCCTATGTCTTCTTTCCAACCGAGTTGAACTCACCTTGAATCACCTGACTTGTGACACTCGATCTATCTTAGATGTGAGTGACCTAATGTTTATTCCAACTAATCCCCTAGATGAAATCGGTCTAAAATTTATCAGATGACGGATTCGTTAAACTAATACGAAACGAAATAACGTAATGCGGCGAATAAAATTAATATCGTTTATCTCTAATAAACAACAGTCCTCGATGGGCCGAAAGACTTTCGCACGCAAATAGGATTTACAATGTGTAATAATAATACGGGGGAAGAGAGAGAGAGAGAGAGGAAGAGAATTCGAAAGACCGCGAAACCTAACGCTCGGCGCGAACACACAAACGGTCGCGATAGACAAAATATTCTCGTGAATATTTTGTCGCGCAGAAAAAGGGAGGTGCAATTACGGTGATCAGCCGTAATTGTTTTTTCAGCGAAATCAAAGGTGCTCCTGCGGAATCAGCTACCCTGCCTCACTCGAAAGATCTGCTGTTGCTACACTTAATGATGCTACCCACTTGCTGCTGCTATAATTGGCTATACTATCACTCACGCTCGTATCAAAAATCCCAGAAAACAACTTTTGATTATCTAAACGATAAAATACAGTGAAAACTAATCGGCGGTACTTTCACAAGCAACACCTGAGACTTAACTAAAACTTTGAACTCTCGCGCGACCCCTCTCTTTCTTAGATGCTCTAGCATCGCGAAAACTACCGAATCGTGAACGTATTGATTGATCGAATCAACTACCGTTGCAGCCCCCTCCAAGTCCTGACTACTCGGACAGGACGAATACCTGTGATTCGCCGTCAACAGGGACCTGAAAAAGAAAGGGAGGAAAAGAACCAAATGACTAAATAACCCTTTCCTCTTTTTTTTTCTTTAGGGATACTTTATTCATGGCCCTTCCGGGTCTACATCATTTCTTGACTACACCTGGCGCTCGGTACTTCGGGTAGCGCCAGTTTGTAGCCTTTTTCGGGCACCCCTGAGAGTTAATCACCCCAGGCTCCTCACAGATGTAGCTGCCCCTCAGCTGCGATCGGGACTGAGCAGGCCGTCCCCGTGGACCTTGAACATCGGCCAAGCACTAGTTGCTCCCGGGGCTCTCTTCTCTTGCTCATGCACCTGAGACTAAAGATCTTCGGTGAACTGCCAGGCACTTTCCACCTTGTTGAGCCCCAAACGTACATGTCTGAAGTCGAGAAGGAGAGTTTGTAGCTTTGCAATACGGGGATGGCTGCAGATCCAGTGCGAAGCCCCATAGGCCTCTCTGGGTCCAGGGCACTGGCTCGCACTGTCCGACGTCTGGGGTATGCCGGACTTAAGGGTCTGCATCTTCTGGGTCTAGTGAACTTGGGACGCTTGACCTCTTCCTGGTCCTCCGTTTGGGTCGAAGCGTCCCGAGAAGCCTTTTTCGGGGTGACCCACGTCGTATCCCGGAGAACGTCCGCCACCGATCCGTGGTGGCGCTCTCTTGGGGTGGCCCCCGCCAACTAGACCCTGGTGAAGCTCCGCAGATCCTCAATTAGCTGCGTCGCATCAGGGCCCAGCTGCAGATCTAGCAGCATCTGGGTGGCTACCTCGAAGGTTTCTTCTTCCACGACAATTTTCCGGTCCATCTATAACATCCAAAAGAAGAATTTTGGATGAAACTCACTGCGCGAAGAAATAACCTACTATGTCGCATTTCACCGGCTACGCATTCCCTTGTTTTTCCTCGCGTGAACGCCCTGGCCCTCGTCGGTTACCGCTTCCTTCCCGTCTCTTGTTCAGGATTATCGTCCCAACCATCCTTTGTACGACGGGCACGGTCTTTCGAAGCCTACCTCTCCCTCTAGATTTCTTTAAGGGAGAGTTGTCGCCTCTTGCCTGACTGGTGATCGTCTCTCGGACCTTCCGAGGTCGACCTCGACCTCTATAGGTTGGTGCGGATACCGGTAAATCCGACGCCTCGGTGGGATTGTTACCTACGGCCGTGGGGGCTGCTAGTTCGATCCGCTCGCTCAATAAATCCCCGCCGGGATCTTCGCACGCTTTTGCAGAATCGCTCGTCACCAACGGTCCTTCTTCGCGCGGCTCGCGAGGCTTGTTGGTCGCTTTCTCGCTTTTCTCATTTCCTGGACTATAATACGGTTTAAGGTCTTTGGCATGGAAGAGCTCAGGCAGAATTTCTAGCTGATTACGCAGTCTATACGTGTTGGAGCCACATATCTCTTCAATCACGTATGGACCGGCGTATTTCGGCGCCAATTTGGCTGATATGCCTTGGGCAGCCGAGGAGAGTACCCTGTTCCTCTTCTATACCCAATCTCCGACCTTAAACTCGGGTTGTCGTCTCTTGTGGTAACCCTCCTGCTGCACCGCTTACTCCTTTGACTTGGAGTTGGCTTGCTCCCATAGATTAGGGAGCTTCTCTATATGTTCAGCCCAATCTACTACAGCTTGGCCCTCCTAACACTCAAAGGAGGTACCGGCTGACGCCCAAAGATGAGCATCGCAGGACTATATACCCGGTGGCGCTATGAGTTGCCGAGTTCAACGCGAAATTGAACTCTGACAGGTACTCCTCTCAGCTCTTATGATCACGACTAACATACGACGTGATCATGGTTTCGAGCGTCCTGTTTACTCGTTTTGTGGGATTCGCTTGTGGATGATACACGGGAGTCAAGGCGCGCTGGAATCCGTTCATCTGGACGTATGATTCTTCAGTTCGATTACAGTATACGATAAGAATACCTCTGGCGCGCCAAACCTACTGATAATCCGCTCGTGTAATTCCTTCGCGATCGTCTTTCCATTAGCTTTGCGTATTGCAATGCATTCCATCCAGCTAGTAAAAAGGTCTACAAAGACTAGGACATACTCAAAACCTCCAGAGCTTTAGGGAATGGTCCAGTGATATCACCGGCCACCACCTACCAAGGTCGTGACACTTGTCTACGACCCATTAGCCCGCAAGGTGCTCTTTGTTCCACCTTGCATTGCTGACATACCGGGCAATTCTTTACGTACTCCTTGACCTGAACATATATCTTAGGCCAGTAGTACAAGCGCCTAGCCCTGGAGAACGTATACTCTCGTCCTTGATACCCTGCCGTCGGAGCATCATGGACCTCCTGGAGTACTTGGTACCTTTTCTCTCTAGGCACCGCAAGCTTCCACGCTTCCTCATTGTCGATGGATCCTTCAGCGTCGTCATCAGGATGATAATGATACAGACTCCCCCCCAACTACATTCCATGTGGTGTATAAGTGTAAGTCTAGACTATTTATGGCACTCATTTGAGTCCCCTCCTCCTTATAGGCACTAGACAATGCATCCGGCACCACATTGATATCTTCCCTTCGATATTCAATGTCGAAGACATTGCCTTGCATATCTAGCGCCCAACGCTCTAGTCTTCCCGTGGGATTTCTTATACTGTGGAGACATTTCAGGCAACTATGATCCTTGATGACCTTGAAGCAATGCCGTTCAATGTACGGTAGAAACTTTCCAATGGCCCATACCACTGTCAAACATTCTCTCTCGGAGACTGTATACTTTCATTCAGCACTCTTGAGTGATCGGGTGGCGTATTCGATTACACGCTCCTCTCCATCGATATCCTGCGTGAGGACTGCCCCGATCCAACTGTCACTGGTGTCAATTTTTAGTACAAACTGACCGCTAGGATCGGGTGGTTGCAGTATTGAGGTGGAAGTCATCGCCTCCTGCAACCTCGTGAAAGCTCGCTCTTGCTCCTCCTCCCAAGAGAAATGTACATTCTTTTTCGTTAAGCGGTTTATAGGTTCAGCGATCATGGCAAAGTTGAGTATAAAACATCTATACCACGACGTCATTCCCATGAATCGCTTTATCTGTTTGACTGTCCGTCGTATTGTATAATCCAGTATCGGTCGTATCTTCTCGGAATCTGGTCTTACTCCGTCCTGGCTTACGAGAACTTCCACGTGCCTTACTTCCGTCTTACAGAAGTGGCTTTTGACTTTGTTGATGGTTAGGCCCGCACCTAGAATTCTCTTTAATACTTTTTCTAGGTGCCACTTATGTTCCTCAAATGACGACGAAACCACAATTACGTCG